TGCCCGTCGCGGGGCCGCCCGCCCCCGGCCGGCCCGAGGTTCGCAGCGCGGCACCGGGAGCCGCCGCGGAGCCTCTCCCGGGTCGCTGCCTCTCTCTTGGAGCTCCGGGCAGGGCTGTGCCGGCGGGAGGAGACACGTCAGCGGCGAGCGGAGGGCTTTCCGGGGTCTGATGACGGGCGGGGCGGGGCGGGGCGGGGGCTGTCCCGGCGTGTTTGGCATCCCGGGATGCAGCGGCGATTCCGGGGATGCTGCTTCCTGACCCTGCGCTCTGCCGGGGGTGCGGCAGTGCCCTGGGGTCCTGCTGGAGGCGTAGAACAGAGTTACCTGACATAACCAGCTCTTAGCTGGTGCTCTAGGTGGCTGTTTTCAACATTAATCTGTGCTGCGTAAGATATGTAAGTGTTTCTTCCGCGAAGCCTCGGCGAAGTGTGATTCGTTGTGATCGTTTTAAGTGCTGCAAAGCACGTGTTATTTTCCTCTTGCCTTCCTCTCCCGTGTTTCTCACCATCCTTCTCTTCCAGGGTCCTGTGCCATGGCTGATCCCTCGTCCACATCCGACCTTGCAACCCTGGCTCTGTGTCATGTCGATAGATCTTACTTAGAACTGGTGAGTAGCTTTGACGCTGCATGGAGAACCTGCAGGATGTTCCAGTGGAGTTTATACCCAAATCTGGCGCTGGCACAGGTTGCCCAGAGAAGCTGTGGCTGCCCCTGGGTCCCTGGAAGTGTCCAAGGCCAGGTTGGATGGGGCTTGGAGCAACCTGGGCTAGTGGAAGGTGTCCCTGCCCATGGCAGGGGGTGGCACTGGATGATCCTTAAGGTCCCTTCCAACCCAAATCGTTCTGTGATTCCATGATCTGATCTACAGAGTAGTTCCTAGTGTTGATTAGTTGAATCTGATGCAAAAGTAACTTCTACCATGTACATTATTCACTTGTAGAAGCACTGAATTGGGGCAGAACAGAGTCTACATGTCCTCTGTCAGGCAGGTTGGGGTGACTCTGTGTGTGCACAGCTGTCACAGCAGGCAGTGATGTGTAGATCCTCTCAGCAGAACTTGCCCAACCTGTTGGCTCTGCACCCAGACCATCCCTGGGATGATTCCTGACAGATTCAGTTCCTTTCATTGCAAAACAATCACCCCTTGGTTCGTGAGATTTTAACTCTGCACTGGCTGCAGTGTTGGCCCCTTCTTTGTTCTTGTCATCTCTTCCAATTGCATCTATTTCTTCATGCCCAGTAAGGCTTTTACTTATTTAATCACAGAATCACAGGCTGGTTTGGGATGGAAGGGACCTCAAAGATCATTCAGTGCCACCCCCTGCCATGGGCAGGGACACCTTCCACCAGCCCAGGTTGCTCCAAGCCCCATCCAGCCTGGCCTTGGACACTTCCAGGGATCCAGGGGCAGCCACAGCTTCTCTGGGCAACCTGTGCCAGGGCCTCCCCACCCTCCCAGGGAAGAATTCCTTCCCAATATCCCATCTAACCCTGCCCTCTGTCAATTTGAAGCCATTCCCCTTTGTCCTGTCACTACAATTCCTGATGAAGACTCCCTCTAAGTTATAAGTTGTGCCTTTTCTGAATAAACTCTTCTCCTTAAATACTTCCAGGAGTGCTTTCCTTGACTGTTATTTTCCCCTTCTCATGCTCTGCTTCAGGAGAGTTAGAAACCCCTGGGAATGTTTGTGCTGCTTGGAGAGCTCAGTTAGGAGTTAACTTATCAGTTGTGTGGCTGTTGTGAAATGCAGGTTAACTGGCCTAATGTTCTTCCCATAAAAAGTATAGATGAATTGAATTTGTTATTTGTAAAGCTGTGTCTTTACAAGGAGCTGGTCCTACCAGAGTAGTGATTCCCACTGGAATGTGTTTATATCAATAAAGGATGTTTTTGGCGGGGTGCTGCTGCCAAAATCAAGTGCTTTAAGAGTCGAGCCAGCAGGAGATAAGAGACATTTTATCTCTTAAATACCTTGTGAGCTGAGCCGTGGAATGAAAGCCCTCGGTGCTCTGCAAGTGCTAAATGTTGGGTTTCAGGTTTGCCTTGGTGGGAACACCCCCAGGAGCTCCCTGGGGGGGTGGGGGAAGTGGTTTGGTTTGGTTTTGAAATGTCCCAGCGTTTCCTCTGTGCGGGGAAGGAGCTGTGGAGTTGCAACCAGAGTTCATCTTTTTTTTTTTTCCTCTTTCTTACTGAGGGTCCTGACCTGTCAAATAAGTTGGTTTTATAATTCAGAAGCGTTTTTTTTAAACGACACGTACAAGTTTCTTAAAACAAGAGGCTTTGTAGGGATCTGTAAAACAGAACAAAGTCATTTATTCTTCAGCTTAAGGGGTTCATATGTTTAAACCCATTAAAGTACTAATAGATTCTGCTGCCCTGAAGCACTAAATCAACTATTCCACTTATTTTGATGTATGTAAATTTATATAAATATACACACACTGTCAAAACTTAATTATTACTTTTTGAAAACCTGTGTTGGCTTCTTAAACACGTGTAGTCAGGTATTCTTGAACATTATTTTGCTGCCCAGTACCTGGTTTTGACTTACTGATTTCTAGAATACTGTTCTAGTGTGATTTAAAATATTGTTTAAATTAATAAAGGTTTTCCTGCCCAGTCATAACCAGTAATCTGTGGACTTTTTTTTTAATGGATATGTAGGTAAACATTTTTTGTCTCCTGAAACAGCCTCTACACCATTGTGTTAAATAACTCCAGCAAACATGCTTTTTGTTCCCTATTTGTTTTGGTTTGCTTTATTTGCTTTTTTGGCTGTGCAATGTTAAAAAGTATGTTTGTCTTTAGGGTCATGGAACATTTGGTCAGACAGTGCTGCCTAATCCTAAAACAGGTATGTGAACTAAACCAATTTGCTTAAATTTTTAATGCACTTTTGTGCTCTTTTTGATTCCTTTTTGATTTTTTTCCCCTTATTTTGCCCAAATAAGTAGAATTCATTACCTGTGTTTTAACTGTAGCTGTGTTTTAGCTGTAGAGGTCCAAAGACAATTTTAAGTTGATTTTTTTTAATAGGTGAGTTTCTGCAGTTATAACAATTAAAAAAAATTCAGAGGTGGCAGAAAAGCAGGTGGCTCCAAGAGTGTGTGAAGTTCTTCTAAACTGTTTTCACCACACAAATGGTAACCTGGAATATGCAGGAGACTCACAGGGACACAGCCAGCTGTGTAAAATGAATTTTTCCATATATTCAGACCCCCAGATGCTGCTGCTTCTGCTCTGAGATGCCACCTCAATAATCTGATTTACCTTTTAATTTACCTCAGAGCACAGGGTGCCACCCCAATAGTCTAATTTACCTTTTAATTTCCAGGCAGACTCTGAGGGAGGTGGGTTCTGTTTTTGAAAGGCCTCTGAGGCCAAAGAGAATATTGCTGATTTTTGTAGCTCTGGGTTTATTGTAGAAAACAATTCCAGGGGTGCAGGTAGAAGGGGCTCATGTTTTACCTGGAAAAGAGCATTTCCTTAGGGCCACTAAACTCACAGCATCACTTATTTAGAAGCATTTATTAATTTATAATTAATTTTATCAGTACAATTTGGAACCCAGGCAATTCCTTGAGCAAGGAATGTAAAGCCTGCCATGAGGTCCCTCTTCCTACCTCTGTAGAAATTCCCTCTCCCCCTTTAATTTATGATAAAACTCAAGTTTCCAGGTGTGTTTGGAGCGTTCAGGTCTCCTTGTTCAGGTTGGTTTGGACTTAGGAATAAAGTCTGGGAGTGATGGACGGGGATGTTTGTTACAATTTGGAATTTTGAGTTATTTCTTACCCCTGCAACGCCTGGATGCTCCAATTCCCACCTGTTTTCCTGGAGGTGTTAATCCCTGTGAAGTTTGGTGCAATCAGCCTGTGGAGAGATTAAGGGAACACTGCAACGTGATTAAAATCCAGATGCTTTGGCCTCTTCTCTTCACCCAGGAAAGCATTTCTTTCCAAGAGGAATTTGGGTGAGTAGCCACGTTTTCCAAGGGGTTTTTCTCCCCTTTTTCTTGTGCCTTGGGAAAGATCGTTGTGTGTTTTCAGTGGTGCTTAAACTGGCTGCAGGAATGTTGTTGGGAACAGTGGCTTCAACTTAGTTAAGGCCAAAAGTTCCTCAAGCCACAGAAGAAAATATTAAGGAGGGGTGTGTGAAGTTTGGAATCTAAAGAGTGTGTTTAAGTGGTTAAATAGATGCCTGAGATTTCAAAAGCACCAAGAGCTTTGCAGCTTTTCCTTTTATTTGTTTGTTTGTTTATTTATTAATTTATTCCTCCTTCTTTATTTTAAAAATCTGAGTTTGTAAACATGCTCTTGGTTAGATCTAATTTTTAATGATTATAACTATTATAACACCCTAATTATGAATATAATATTTATATATAAAATAACTGTATATTGTATTAATATAATGTTTATAGATAAAATTATTGCATATTATATTAATATAATATATAAAATAACTGTATATTGCATTAATGTAATATTTATAGATAAAACAACTGCACATTATATTAATATAATATTTATATAGAAAATAACTGTATAATATATTAATATAATATTTATATAAACCCAGCTTTATATTATATTAATATAATATTTATATATAATGTTATATATATATAATAATAATAATTGTTAGTGTGCTAAGAAGATGTTAATTAAGTGTTAGCAATTAGGACCATGTATCACAGTGTTACTTCTCTCTGTAATAACTTGTGTTTTTGAACAGTTTGCTCTTTCAGGGGTGGCGTCTGTGGAAGACAATGTCTGAGTGTAATTTTGTGGAAGACCTTGCTGATTTAATTAAAAAAGTTGTTGTAAGTGCTGTATTTTAACTTGGTGTAAGTTCTCAAGTGGAACAGGTTAATTAAATCTGTACCTTAAGCAGCTTGGGATTGTATCTGAAATGAGACATTTCCTTTTGCTGCAGTGAATAAATTGGGTGATGGCTGAGTTGCAGCTTTCTAGAAAGAAAAAGCACCCTGGGCTTTATCACAGTTGGGATAACTTAGTAAATAATTGCAGTCAATAATGTAACTGATGGATGAATGACTTAAATACTTCATTTTTCCCCCCTCACTTATTTTTCTCTTGCTCAACAAATAGTATTTTGAATTTGCTGTTATTGCTGACTCAAAACACAAATGTAACAGTGCAGAGAAGGATGTAAGAAATGCTCTCAGCAGCTGAAGGGGAGAGATTTGTTGTGGTTTTTAAATTCAGTTACGACACAGTTCTTTTTTTCATTTCTTGAAAGTCTGTGCTCAACCCCAAGCTCCACTTTTCCAGTCCGTGTTACTGCACCTCTGCTTCCCTCTTCTTCCTTCCTCAGCCTTTATCTCCTTCTCCATGTAAAACATTGTATATCCAACAGTAAAATTCATTTATTTTTCCACAAGAAATTTGCTCCTGATTACAAGAATATTGCCTGGATTTTGGCAATGGAGCACAGCAGCTCTCCCAGTGATGCTGCATTGAGGCAGAACAGAAAATGTTACTCAGATAAACCTGAGCAGACAGAAAAACTGAAATGCTCAGCTCTTTAATAACTTGATTTTTGTTTGCTTTCTCTCTCCCCGTTCCAGAACATTCCACACTTTATCAGTGGCATTTTGAGGATTGGCAATGGGATAGAAAATGTGAGTTTTTCCAGTTGTTTATAAGATTCCCAAGCAGTGATACCTGTTCAATCTGTGCATGGCAGAGGAAGAGTGTGGTTTGCACTCAATCCAATCCACAGCAGAACTATGCTTTGACATTTTTCACCTTGTAAACTTGGTGGATGTTCTCTGAATTTCCCTGTTTTCACCAGTTTTTCCCCCACTTGCTGGTGTCTGTTGCCTGCTGTGCGTGAGCTGTGAAAGCTGAAATCAAAACATAATATAAAAATGAAAAAATAAAAGCATAAATGTAACAATAAAACAAATACAAAAAAAAAATAAAAAATATAAATATGAAAAGTATATAAATAAAAGACAAAAGACAAATCTCACAACAGGAGAAACAGAATAAATACAACTCTGTGTTACCCAGTTGCTGTAATTTGGGTGACATTTAAGTCGTGTGGGTTTCGATCTTATTTCTCAGTAGCCGTCAGAAAGAAGTTTCTAAATCAAATCCTAGGGCTTTTATGTTATTTTTCAAGAATTTCAGTCATCAAGAAGAAGTTTCTCAATCAAAAGCTAACATTTGAGTGCCTCCCCTGTCTCCTGTGGCAAGAACAACCGGTTGAGTTTTGTGACTCAGCTGTGCTTGAGGTTATTTGTGAGCTGTTTTCTATTTCTTTGTTTTCCCTTCTTTTTTTTTCTTTTCCCTCCATTGAAATAGGGTTTCTTTGACATCGAGGAGGCAGTGGATTGGATCAGGTGTGTGGGTGATGCCAACGTTCTGCAGGGCCTGGAGGAACTCAGGGATTTTCGCCGGCTTAAACTTGCCACTGTTTTTACTCAGTGTAAGTCTGAAAACTCCCCAAGAAACAGTGATGAGGAAAGTCATTTACTGTTGGTAACTGGGGAGCAGTTAATGTCCTTATATATTTCATTTTGGGCTCATTCAATAATCAGTGTATCACAGGGATTCTCAGTGGCAGATGATAAACCCTTCGTGCCTTCGGTAGCTTTTTCACCCCCTGTATTTCTCTGAATTTTGTCACCAGGGGAACGTTCCATTATTAAAGTTGCATTGGAAGATTGTGATTTAGTTGAAGAATTGAAAGCTCAGACCTGTGAGAGCTCCAGGAAGGTGAGAGAAGCTTTCAGAATGGGTTTTGTGCTTTTTTTTTATTGGTTTTGGGGGGGCTTCTAATGATCAAGGCTTATAAAAATGCCCAAATGATTAAAGAGAAAAGCTTCAAAAGTTTGAGTGTGTCATTGTCCTGATGTAAATAATTACCTTTACTTCTCGTTGTTGAACTGAGTTTAGTCCCAGTTTCTGAGTTTGTTTCTTTGTGGTTTCACAGGAGAGTGAATTTATGAAACAGAGAGGAAATGAAGTATTTTCCCGTGGAGCCTTTGTTCCTGCTATAATCTCATATACCAGAGCCATAGAGCTTTGGTAAGAACTGAACTGGTTAACTGGGTTGTGTTTTATATGTATGTAATATAATTTTTGATATGCATTCAGCTTTTTCAGATTTATGCTCATTTTTCATAGTTTTGCATGAGCCACTCTACTTAGAGGCCAAAAGATTCCTAATTGGGAAACAAAAAAAAAAAGCTACATGACACTTTTCTTGTTCTATTTTGGTGGTGCTTTTATTGCTCCAGGAGTCCTGTTAGGGTCTAAAGCTGATCTAAAATGACTTAACAGCAAGTAAACCTGCAAGGAAATAAATTATTTGGTGTGAACAACCACTTTGGGTGTTGTCCCTCTAAATAGTCTTCCAGCAGAACAATGTGACCAAGTGTTGCAAATATTTATCACCTCAGCCGTGATGCAGAAAGAGTAAACAAGAACAAATATTTAAGTGTCCTTTCCTGGCAACTCTTAGGCTTAATTTTTTTTTTAGCTCTTGTTTAATTTCTTCTCAAAAGGAATTTGCTGGAAGGCTTTGGAGACACTTTCCTGGGCTCTGGAAAAAGGGAGGAAGAGATCAAATGAGAATTTTTTTATCTGAGCATTTACAGAGCATTTTTCCCCTTCCAGTGTTCAGCAGGGTTGGTGTATTCACTGCTTGTATTACAGTCCTGCCAATGCTGCTCTGACACCTTCTGGTGTCTATGAAATACTTGGAAATATAAAATCCCACCAGGTTGTTCAAACTGTTTGGAGTTTTCAGGTTGAAGTCTGGAGCTTTGTAATTGTGCAGTTGAAAGGATCAGCGTTTTGCTCATGTCTTGCTTCAGGTTTTGTGTCTTTTGAGGAGATTTCTGTGCCTGAGGTTTCCCTCAGCAGAGTCTCAGACATCTGATTTCAGGGAACAATAATTTATCAGTTGAGTGGTACAGGAACAGCTCGAGCTTGGGGCCTCCAGGAGGGGCTCAGACCAAAAAAATCCTTTGCAGTTTGGGGTCTTTTTTGGTCTGGAGTCTTCTAACCCCTTCTTGGGTTCTTTCTCTGTGTTAACTTCTGGCTCAGACCAGCCTTGGGGCCCTTTTGTGTGAGTCAGGGACAAGCCTGACTTATCTTTACCCCCTGTTTTACCCATACCAAGGTCTCACTCCCTCTCTGTTGCCTTCAAGGTCCTTTTCCCTTGAGCCCTCTTATCCCATGGAAAAAGTGGATCCAGCCTTCCTGTGTCCTCCCCTGCTCAGCCTTTCTTGCTGACAAAGAATTAATTTGATCAATTTAAAGTTCACCTACACTCAGGTTTGAGCAGGGCCCACCTAAACCCACTTGTGTGCAGTTAAACCCAACCCAACATTGTCACACAATTTCTGATATTCTCTGAGCAAATGTCACGTGGCAGGAATACATTTTGGTCCCAAATTCCAGCTGATTTCAGCCTTTTTCCAGAGTTGAGTAAGGCTGACTTGTGTCAGGTGACTCAGGGGGAGCAAACCAAGAAGGCTTTGCTGGAGAAGGGGGAGGGAGGAGCAGAATTGAGTGTGAGAGCAAAGGAAATCCTGTGGTTTGTGAAGAGCAAAGGAAGTCACATCATTTCCAGGAGCTGTAGAGCGGGGCTGGTGTTTTTTTTAGGGGTGAGCTGAGAACGATTTGAATTGCTTGGAAGTTGCATCAGTGGGCCCAAATGTTACCAATTATTGCATAATTAAAATGAACCTCCTCAGTGGTTTAACTTGTAAATCCGTGGGATTTGAGGAAGCTGGGGTGTGTTGGTGCTAGAGAAGCCTGCAGGCAATTGTTGTGAAAATCCACTCTTTTTTTTTTTTTCCCTCCTTAGGATTTTCCAAAGTAATATATGGTACTAACTCTCCATAATATATATATTTTTTTTAAGCCGTACAAACCACCTTCTGTATGGAAACAGAGCTCTTTGTTTCATTCTCACAGGAGACTACGAGTAAGTAACCCCTTTGTCATCTGAAATGTGGTGATCTGCACTTAAAAATAGGCACCCTGAGTAAGAAAAAGAGTATTTTTAAAGCTGACATATAGAGTTATTCGTGACTCTGTGATTGAAGTTATATGTGATTACAGTTATATGTGACTGTAGTTATTTGTGACTAGAGCTGCCCCATCCCTGGAAGTGTCCAAGGCCAGGTTGGAGCAGCCTGGGAGAGTGGAAGGTGTCCCTGCCCATGACAAGAGGTTGGAACTGGGTGATCTTTAAGGTCCCTTCCAACCCAACCCATTCCATGGGTTTATTCCCTTTTATTCCCTTGGTATTTTTATAGAGCCTTGGACACCAGCCTGTAGATTTTTCTGAATTGCAAATAATAAATTGCTCTTCTTTTTCCCCTCCCTTCCCCAAGGAGAGCTGTCGTTGATGGGAAAAGAGCCACTGTTTTGAAGCCTGATTGGCCAAAGGTCAGTTCCATGTTTCAAAAAAATGAAATCTCGTTTCAAAATTGTCTTTTGGTGGTGTTGTAAAGCAAGATGAGAACCCAGCGGTGTCTTCTAATGACAGAAGAATGCAAAGGACTGAGAGTTCTGCCTTGGTCAGTCAAGTACACAGTTTGTATATTTATATTACAAGCACGTCAAATTAACATTTTTAAGTGTTGTTACAAGGTGTTCTGCCTCTTTAAAGGCAGAAGAAAACGTTTATTTTGTCGTGCACAGCTGTGTTATCAGCTATTTAAAAGGAATATATGTAGCCCTTGCAATAAAAAACCCCCTGATTAATGTATTTCCCAATATCCTTGGCCTGAAGAAGAGTAAATAAGGGATGAAAAGTAGCTGTTGAGATCAGGGGAAAGTGCAAATTTGCTCTTTCCCAAAGCCAGAGGTTACAAGCTGCTCCCAGCTGAAAACTGAATATTCATCGTTTGAGAGCAGTTAGACACAATTTCACTTTGTTTTGTCTACTGCAGCCGGTTTGGGATGTAATTTCTTTTTCTTTTTTGCCTCACCTGTGTGAATAAAAAGCTTGAAATCCCAACTCCTGTCCGTGTAGGGTCACCACCACTACTGCAAGGCCCTGTCCCTGCTGGGGAGGCACGAGCAGGCTCTGGAAGCAAACGAGAGAGCTCAGGAGCTCTGCAGGAACGTCCCCGACGGGCTCAAGGAACTTGTTCAGCAGCATCACAAGCTGAAAAGGACCTTAGAAGAAAGTAATGGTAATTTCAAGATGTGCCTTGAACACAGCAGAATTCCTTTGGGGGTGATTTTTCCTTTTAAACCATTTATTTGTTTATTTGTTTATTTATTTCTTCAATTATTTCTTCAATTATTTCTTCAATTATTTCTTCAATTATTTCTTCAATTATTTCTTCAATTATTTCTTCAATTATTTCTTCAATTATTTATTTAGTTATTTATTTAGTTATTTAATTAATTCCCCCTTCTGAAATAATTTTCCACAGGTACTAAACAACGTAAACAGAAGGCAAAGAAGTCTCTGCTTGAGAAAAAGTGAGCAGTTGTCATGTTTTACCTTTTTTAATCAGCAATATAATACTAATTAATAATATTGCTCAATATAATATTGATATAATTAATATTAATATCAACATGAATAATACACTATATTAATTAATATTATAATTATTATTAATATTATAAACAATATTAATAATATACTATAATACTCTACTATAATACTATACTAAAATATAAAATATATTTTATATACTTAATAAAATATATTATGTTTTATATATAATCAATACTATTATACTATACTATAATAAAATATGCTATACTATAATAATATTATATTAGAATAAAATATAAAATAATAAGTAATAAAAGTAATAATGCTCAGTGCTTGATATCATTTAAGTAATGCATAACAAAATGTAGGCAATATCTATGATATCTCTCAATAAATAAAAATGGAAGGATTAAATTTATCACAGCTGCAACCATCTATCTAATAAACCTGATAGAGGGCTCCTAGGAAGTAAATAAACTGTCTTGGGCTGCACCCAAAGCAGCAGGTGGTTATTAATCAGCATTATTAATTATTTAGTTTTTAAAAATATATAAATGTAATTCAGTTCCTGTCCCTTTTGTAGAAAACAGTGCTTTTTGTTGTTGTTGTTGTTGCTGTATTTTTGCACAGCTTCAGGCTGTGCAGTTTGAAGGTATTAAAAAATCAGATATCAAATCAAAATATCAAATCTTTTAAATATGCTTGTGGAGTTACACTTCTGTGAGGGGCAGACTCCTTGTATTAATCCCTTTTTTTTTATGTTACATGTATGGCAGAATAGGAATAAGAGTTCTCTCTTTTTATGTATCAGGGACTGCAGCTCTTCAAAATCTCACAGAGTAACCTCTCAGGAACAAAAAGAATTAGAAAAGATCAGAAAGAGAACTCAGACTGATCCTAAAGGTCCTCAAAAACACGATCCCAAGGTGAGTTGTGCTGGAATTACAGAATTAACAGTGCCTTGATTTTTTTTTTCACCAGCCTGGAACGTGTTATTCAGTGCTGTGGCTGGAATTCTGCAGGCACTGAGTTTTTTAACAATTGTGCACTTTCCCTGTGATATTTGACTGCCAAGTCTGTGCTCAGAACTTGGGGTTTCAAGGAGGTGGGAGGTGGCTGCTTGAAGGAGGTGTCCTGTCTTTTACACTAATTATTAATTTAAAGAGACATTTGTACTCCTTCTGATTGCCTTTGCTGTTGTTCTTTTAAGATAATAAATTGTCATAATTTAGCCTACGAAGTGGGTCATTAAAAATAAGCCACCTAATGTAGAAAACGGTGGTAAATAATGTGGATTAATAGCAAGGCCCAAACAATTTAAAGCACACACACGTGAAAAGACCTCTGTGTTTTTTTTCCAGGAGAGGTGGGCAGGGACTTGATGACGTGTGAGTGGGGAAAACGAAACCCAAGTGGGAGGGCAAAGGGCAGGAAATGAAAGCTGGAGCCTGTTGGCAGAGAAAACGAGCTGCAGAAAGCACCAGAAGGGCTTAAAGTGCTTTAGGATTTTTTTTATTGTTTTTTTTTTTTTTTTAATTGCCTCACGAGAACTTTCATCTGCTTTCATGCCATGAAAACCTTTTGTGATGTAGGTCTGTGAACTTGTCTTCCTTCAGGATGAGCATTTCTGTGAGAGAGGCTGGTGTTTGTCAGGCTGGTAGATAATATGAATTGATACAGATTTGGAGGGGGGAAAATCTAAACTGTACAACTGCACTTTGATTAATGAAACGATTTTTCTTTTACCTCTTGGTTGGGGACATAATGTAGCATTTTATCATTGGGATTTCTCTGTTTAAATGCTGGTTGTTGAGGTTTTTTTCCCTTTGTTTAAATTCAGTGAGTGAGACTGATGTGGGTTTTGTTCTCTGATGTATTTGCCATTAGATGACTGACACCCAAAGACCAGAAAGCAAAGTTTCCACGCTGGAGTTGCCACAAAGTGAGTTTATTTTTATTATTTGTCAAGTCTGAGTCGTTTCTTCCTCTGCTATTGCCATAACTACTACTCCAAAGAGCATCTGATGTTATTTTCACAACAGGAAGAGATCACGTTTCACATCTTTTCCTGTTACTCAGATCCTTTTTCTCTTCTGTATTTCTGTCCTAATTCCCTCGTGCTTTTGTAGTTTGAATCTCCTTGATGTGGCCGAATTCAAAATCGAAACTGGAACTAAAAAGTGAAAACTGAGTCACAGGCTAGGAATGCTTTCCCTCCTCCTGAGACAGGTTTGGGATCTGAAGGGATCTAAATTTAAGAGGAGTGTGTGGGCAGTTTCATTATTTACAATTCATTTGTGATGGCTAAAGCTCCGTGTAGATCCATGAGAAAACAAGTCTGCAGTTGGAGAGGGAAAATATTTGTCAAAGCAGATTTTTAGCTGCAGAGTTAAAGTTGGTGTGATTTATCGTTTATGTTTGTTTTTTTTTCAATGAATAAATCATTTTATGGAGAGAATTCCAACCCCCCAGAACTCCCACAGTGCCAGAGTTTCACTTTTCTGGAGTAAAAGTGAAGTGCAAGATGTTCTGAGCTTCAAAGTTAAATCTTTTCCTAAATTTTTAGTTAGGAAATAAGAGGTTTTTATCACCTGCTCTGAAGTCTTTGGTGCCTGCCTGTGCTGTTCTTTGGGTTTAAATTCTCACCTGAAGAGGTGCCAAAATGCAGAGCACTTGAAAATTTGATTTTTAGGAAACCATCGAAGATCCATTACAAAATATAATATTTAAAATGAGCAGTAGGAGAAGTGATCTTGCTCTTGTGGGCTTTGGCTGCCCCTGGATCCCCTGGAAGTGTCCAAGGCCAGGTTGGACGGGGCTTGGAGCATCCTGGGCTAGTGGAAGATGTCCCTGCCCATGGCAGGGGGTGGCACTGGGTGATATTAAATGTTCCTTCCAAACCAAACCACTCTGTGATTCTGTGGCTCTATGAAGAAACCATGGAAGTGTTAAAGGAATTTGATGCAAAAAGCTTAAATTGGGGAAGGTTCTTAGAAAGGGAAAGTCAAGCTCTGGAAGACAAACCTGTTTTGGGGAACTACTCGCGGATGGTGCCAAGCAGCAAAACGCGAGATGGCACAGGGGGGAATTTTGGGGGGAGTTTGGAGGAAGTGACAAGTGAATCCAGGCATTTTGCTGAGCAAGAAGGTGTGGTCTGAATGCTGATGGAACCTGAGAATGTGTTATAAAACAGAGGTTTGTTGAGGCAGTGGAAGAGATGAGCAGCAACGCGCCTGTGGCGGGACCCACCCGGTCAGTGATAACCACGGGATCATAAGGGATTCCCTGGCTCCAGGGAACTCCAGGGACATTTGGAGTTCTGCTCACCCAACAGCAAGACCAAATCATGCCAATGCCTTTGGAATGTGGTAAGAGAGAGATCTGTGCATCCCCTTGGCTCCGCCAGCAATATGGAGGTTTGGGAGAACCCCCCTTGCTTTTCTAAATTCCTTCTCCAGGAGGAGTCTGGGGGCAGTTGGATCCAGCCTTAGTGACAGACCTGGACAATAGTTTATGTCTCAGGGTTTATAGGGGTGTAATTGGTCCTTTGTACAACTTTGTCCCTCAGGATTAAGGATGGCAAACCAGATATATTTGTATGATTAATATAAATCCTGTATTTCAGTTGATGGTGATGATGGTTAGACTAAAGGACTTGAATCAGAGCTGTCTGCTACACACTATAAATGGTTCTAACTGCTATTTTTTATTAAATCAATAAAAGCTAGCTAATAATTAAAATTTTCAGCCTGGAGAAGAGAAGGCTCCAGGGAGACCTTAAAGACCCCTTCCAGTGCCTAAAAGGGGCTTAACAGAAAGCTGGAGAGGGACTTTCCATAAAGGCAGGGCCAGATGACATATTTTGTTGACAAATACCTGGTGAGGCAGGTTTTTGGACCTTCCCTGCCCTCCTGCTGTGTGTTCTCTGGCCTCTTGTACCAGAGAGCCCCAACTGCTTGACCAGTAGCTATTAATTCTTGGGCTGTCTCCAACCAGGTTATCCCTGGTGGAGCACCCCTTCTTCTAGGTCTGGGGGTTGCCTTTAGCATAAACTTTTATTGCATCAGGCAGGCCTTGGATTAAGACTGGAAATCTCTGTGGATCTGCCTCGAGTTCCATTGGGGAATTTTGTTGTGGGTCTAATAATTTTGTGTTCGTTAATTGGAGACGTGTGGTTTTTTGTACACTTTTTACAGCGTGGCCAGTTTGTGGGTGTTTTAATCATGTGAGGATCTCCCCTTTCTCTAGGGTCTAACCCTCCTCCTGCCCAGTAGGCAGCTCTTTGGGTCAGGGACCACAGTGCTCCGTTATCCTCCAGATAACTTTGCTTTAAGCTCTTCCAGTTCCCCGCAGGGGTACAGGGATTTGTTATCATCCACCGGTCTAGGATATTTTAAATTGATGTCCCGAAGTTCACAATTTTTCATTTCTAGTGCCTTTTTAAGCCTTTTATTTTTTTTTCTTCCTCATCTTGCAGGACTGATCGAAATAACAAATTAATTTCCCTCTCACCCCGAACTGCCTCACCCTCAGCAGTTAAACTGCAAGTGTTCTTTTTCTAATTGCTCCTGTAATGCCTTCATTGACTCTTGAAGAGGTCTTATCACTTCACCTGTAGATTTCTGAATAGCCTGTTTTTCTAGCTGGTCCTGCAAAGCTCTCATTGACTCTTGGAAAGATTTTACCACCTCACTTACAGATTTCTGAATAGCCAGTCTTTCCTTTCGCACTGTTCTAAGGACAACGCCTAAAACAGCACCTACAAAAAGTAGTCCTAAACCCAGGACAGACATCAGGAGGGAATAATCCCCATATAACTCACCCTGGGGTGTGTGGTGGTTCGAAACTCCCAAGAATCTAATTTTTAAGTTCAAGCCCCCCCTCCCACAGTTTGCCCTTGTGAGAGG